AATAGTCTGCGAGGTTGCAAAGGAACCCAGGGTAACTTCTAAAGTTCATAGGAGGAAACCCACCAACATCACAGAGCTGAAGCGTTGTGCAGAACTGATCAGCAGTTACAAGAAACGTTACCTGCAGTTATTGCAGCAAAAGGGGGTCAGACCAGATACTGAAAGCAAAGATTCACATACTTTTGCCATTCACAAATATTTAACACCTGTACAGATTAACCCCGCCCTCCGTGTCCTTTCTGCAGCGCTGATTGGTCAGTCATTCAGAACCATCTCAGAGTCAGAGTGCTCTGGATGCTCAAACAAACAGATCAATTGTATCTCATATTTAGTGGTGCCTCTTCAAATGTGCATTATATTTTGGTCACACTTGTGCCTTAAATGTGATCGCTTTTTTAAGCTGCTCTTGCACATTTTCATATATTAATTCCTGAATATCTTTTATTTTTAAATTATGGATGATTATGTTCTAGAGTGTTCAGTCTTCTCTTACTATTTTTTTGTATTAATATAATGAACTCTGACCACTGTACAACAAACGGACAACTAACATCTTTCTAAGGAGACATTAGTTTTGACTGTAATCCAAACGGTTGATGAACTGTCACCATTTTAGTTGGTGTAGGTCAGGTTTGGGTTTGAGCTCAACTAGCGGGGGCGACTGTTAACAGGTTAAGCGATCAATGCGGATGACTTGATCTTCAAACTTCCACAGTATCTGATCATCTCCCTTTACTTCAGTAACACCAGTGTGTAGAGTGACAGAATCTCCCTCCATCACTGACACTGACTGCACATCATCTGTCTCAACAACAAACACATGTGGAGAGCAAACAGAAGAAGTTTAAAACAGAGATAGCGCTTAATGATGAAAGTCATTTTCATATAATAACACTTGAAATATACATGTGCAGAGGACTCTGGGAATGATGGAACAACTACAGTTTTTTTTTTATTGCTTGAAAAATACAATATTCCAGAAAGGGTTCAAATCTTTTTTATAATTTTTTTTTTAAGCTTTTAATTTCAGAATGTCCCTAACAGTAACCTAGTCTCATGTGGTTAAAAAGGTGACAAATACATTTAAAAAAAGGGAAATGAATTCAGTACAACATTTTTTTTTTTAACACATGGAAACATAGGCTCTTTTTAAAGAAATTACTTACATTTTGCTCTGAATTAGCATTAGCACACTACACTCATTTTAGCCAGTTGCTGCTGTTGTTTTTATATCTTCAGTAAATAAATAAATACAAATAATCATTCCACAGCATCTAAACTGTCCACAGGTGACTGACATGAGTTACTCACCATGGACAGTAACTTGGAATGTCTTCAATTTTGCATCTGTGTCCTTGATGTCTACACTATAATGTCCAATGTGTTCAGTTCTGATGTTTGTGATGGTCAGAGATCCAGTCTGTCTGTCCAGCTTCAGTCTGTCTTTGAATATCACACCGGGACCATCATATGTAGAGGGATCTCCATCTGCTTCATTCATTCTAGCAATGATTTCATCACCAAACTTCCATATTATCTTACTATCTCTCGGTACTTCAGTAATATCAGTGTTTAGAGTGAGATAATCTCCCTCCATCACTGACACTGACACTTCATCTGCTTCAACACCAAACACACCTGCAGAACAAACAAAAAGAGTTTATATAATATTGTAAACATACACAATATTGTAATATTTGTGCTCTAAATACAGGATATTAATGACAGCAAATTCTCAGGCAATATACTGTTTGTTTACAGCTCTATTCCTGTATTTGTAATGGGAAATGACAATGTTACACTATATGTGACGAGTTTGAGCAGTTCTCTAAAGTGACCCTTTTCATTCACGATGATGTCTAGTTCAGATGGGATATTATGAGCTCATTTAAGGTCAGTCCCTGAACTAACTATATTCTTGCAGAATGCTACATGCTCTTGTGCAATGATACATTACATTTTGTGTCTCAGTTAATCAAAAGCAACACTAGTCATCACCATAACAAAGACGGCACAAGAGATCTGTCTATTTGTTTATGAAAGAGACAAGTAGAGAATCCAGAATTGAATCTGCATTACTTCTGGGCTCTGCATTATTCAGATTTAAAAATACGTTGTTTTTTTTTTTTTTGTTGTTTTTTTTCATATCCTCTTTGCAAATATCTATTTACATAAAACTCTCAAAAAGTCACTTTACCGAGCTTGATCTCAGTCCCTTAATACACTTTTCTTTTCTTTTTTTGCCAGCAGTCTGGTGTATTTACGAAATGCAGCCGTTTCTTACAGTTTGTAAGTAGTGTCAGAAGTTGTTTAGCAAGTTTATAAATCTACCTCAGTTTTTCACCGTATCAGTAATGTAAGTGAACAGATTTGTTGCATTGTGTCTCTTGAGAATTAAGGCTAATGTGGCTTGGAACTTCTACAAGACAGCATGCAAATTGTAAAAAGTATGCGGTATGAAACTCAAATGCAGAAGAAAACATGCAAAAGAAAAAACAAAACATGTATAAAAATTAGTAATATTCATTTAGACAGCCTGAAAACATACAAAAAAAATCTAATCTTATTCTTAAGGTTAAATGTCTCAGATTCCCCCCCCCCCCCCGTTAAATATTTTTTTTTTATCTGGATTTATTTATGATTTATTGGATGAATATTAAATGACAGAGCACAGCTCAGCACACAAGCAAGCATGTTTCACATGGACACACAAAGACTGAAAAAGTGGCACTGGCACAATGATGCATAGGCAGTTTATTTGCCGTTTTAATGTAAAATATTTCATATTTTACATTTTGGAATAAAACATTGGGTGTTCGGGATGGCATAACTTATTCTGAACAAGTAAAACTTGCTAAAACAAGTAAAGCCCACCTTAAGCTGGCCTAATGTTGTAAGCACAGGTTGCAACAATAGCCATAATTACAGCTTGATGGTAGTTTATGGCAAATGGGCCTACTTTTATTAGTAGGCCGCACCCTGAATGAGAGCGACAGTATCTCAACCTGGACTAAAGTCCAAGAGACTGACTGACTGATTGAGAGAGTGACTTATTTCTGTTTTTCTGTTCTGTTTCGTTTAAATAGTACATGCGTTCGTGTTGCAGCCAGTTTTTATGTAAAATAATAACGCTCAGAATATTGCATGCCGTCAGCGCCCTCTAGCGCTCACTACTAAACACGTGCACAAACAACTAACTCCAAAAATACCCTTACAGGGTGTTTGATTTGTCAGAACGTATATTTATGAAAAAGTGATACGTTTGAGTTTTTTTTTTTTTTAAACTGTAGCTAGATATAAAAAATAAGAAGGTAACAGTCTGTTTCCGATTTATATTGAAAACGAAAATGTTAAATTAACATAAAAAAATAAGTTTTACTCACCGTTCACGAGTAATAAAACCCCCAAAAAGAAGGTATTATTCCTCATACTGATGTCGCTTCTGACCGCGTCTAAACTACAACAGCATTGATTCAGGACACTTATGATAGACTCGTAGCAAACCTTCCAAGTCACGTGGTTTCTTGAGAACTCGGGTGTGTCGCGTCATAGACCTGCTATTTCGAAATGTTCCAAAGTCGACCTTGCCTAGAATTATCAAAATTCTGAAATGCTTGTTTATTCGAGGTTTGAGATCTTCTGCATATTATTAGTCACTATGGTAAATGTGGAAAGTTTTGTTGAAGGAACTAATGAGTAAATTAAAAGACAAGTAAGCAATACAGAGCATAAGTTTGACCCCTTGTGTAATCGTTCTTTATGCATTGCATCGTATGTAACACACTTTTTAATGCATGTCTTTGTTTTTATTAAAGCACGCTGGTTCTGAAGAGGAATTCATCAAGCACATAACTGTTGGAATCATAGTTATTGATGATGTGATTGAGTTTATTATATCGATCTTCAGTGATGTTATCCCAGTATAGAAGAAGAAATCTTGATGATGTACCAACTGCTATTGTCAGTTTGATGAGATTTCATGATTTTTTTTTTCTCATGAACATTTAAGTGTTTACCTTTCCTTTTCATTACAAATAGCTAATTATAAAAAGTTGAAGTGTTAAATGTTTGAAATAAGATTTTTTTTTTATCTGTACTGTACATTTTTTAAAGCTTGTATGCTCAAGAAAACTGGCAATAAAGTGTTTTATTTGGAAGATGTGTTTTTGTAAATTTTATATTTGCTGTAAATATATATATATTGAACTAAGAAAATGAGCCACATTAGGTTACATGAATATTTTAAAAAATTGTATAATCACCCCAAAAAAATGTAATAAAAAATCTAACTCTCCAAAATATTCAATATTTAGAATTGTGTATTAAAGGATAGAGTGCCCTAAATTAGTCCCTCCGTGTTGGGCTTGTTTACATCAGAGTGCGCATGCGCCTTTGACACAGCATACAGAGGTGTTGTGTGGGAAAAAGTATTCTTAAAACGCATTCAAATAATCGGAATAATTTTTAATAAATAATTATTCACGGTATTTTGAAGTGCCCACAATAACAATATTGTGCATGTTCATTATCGTGATATATCGTAGGCTAATAACAAACCACCAGCACATATAGCTACAATTCATGCTGGGTGCTAGGCCAGGCCAACATAGTAAAAAGCTCCCAGCATGCATTGTGGCAACAATTAATCATGCAATTGAATCGCACCATTATCTTCTTTACTTATTATCTGCATTTATTTTCGGTGTTGTTTTTGTTGTGACTTTTAACTACCTTGTTTTGTGATGTTTATTACTAGAATTTAAAAATTTTTTGTTGCTGTTGAGACAGATGAGATAGTGTCAGCGAATAACATATTTAGTTTTTAAAGGTAAGTAAAAGAGCAAATGAGCCACTCCTGTTGATAAGACATGTTAAACATTTGGCCTGATCTTTCTTCATGCTTTGGGCAATTTAAGTGACTTACAATCCATCCACACTGTTCACTCTGGCACCATAAAATAGTCTCAGTTTTATCAAGTTTGATTGACTTTATTGTGTATTTGTACATAGATCTGTATAAGCACCGGATGAACATAAACTTTCACATGAACGGCATCCCAAAAACCCTTAAGATTACACTAAAACACCAATTTCAAGCATCCAAGCCCTGCTGGTTTACAAGTGAAAGATTTTGGCATATGTTGATTTATTTTATATTTAACTGGAAAAAGTCATGAATGGTTCTGTAATTTGAACATTTCAGACTATAGTGTTTACAATTTTCCCTCTTGTTCAAATAGTCAAGCATAAGACAAAAAAAAGCATGATTTATGTCAAAATATAAATATAAAACAAACAAATTAAACGCTGATTAGTATGTCATGCAAAGCAAGTTTATATTGCTACAATGATTATGAACTGTAGTTTCTCTTCATTTTTCATGCTGATCCTGAGAATTATTCACTTTATATTCACTGAAACCTGTTACAAAAACACAGAAAGAATCACAGTAAAAACAATAAACAATAAGAAAATAGCAATGAATAAATAATAAGTTTTAATAATAATATTTTCCCCAAATGTTCTTCTTCGCTACACTTACAATAGGGAAATCAATCATCTGTTATCCTTTCAACAGTAATTAATTACACAAATTAAAAACAGAAACTTTCTCAATTACAGTGTGTAGAAACAAACAAATGAAAAAAATATCACCTTCGCCTTTTCATTTCTTTTAAATACGAAATAATTTAATTTTTAGCTCTTACTGTATGAGTTGAATGTACTTACACCTTTGCTTTCGTTGTCTACAAATCTTGCAGCAAAAAACACAGTTACAGCCCAAACCACCAGACCAACACCAGCACCACATATCCCTGATGCAGCACCGGACTGAGGTGGAGCTGTAATGATAAAGAGAGACAGTCATTAATGAGAATGTGTCTGATCTATGACAAACACTACAAACATCAGCATTATAAAAAATATAACAAAAAATGCATAGCTTTTGCAGAGTTCAAAGTTAACCAAGGCATTTATTTTTCCGTTCCAACATGTTCATAATCAGAATTTCTGCAAAAAATATTTGATCTACTCACTCTTGACAGTAACTCTGATGGTCCTCTGTAAGGTGTATGCGCTGTTGCTCATGTGTAGATGATAATCTCCAGAGTCGGTGGTTTTGGAGTCACTGATGGTGAGATCTCCTGTCTCACGATGAAGATGTAGTCTGCCACTGAATCTCAAATCATCTACGTCTCTAGGTCCAAAGAAGTTGATGCCTTTATTGATTTCAGCCACAAGATTGCCTTCAGTCTTCCACAGTATCAGATCATATCCCCGTATTTCAATAACACCAGTAGTCAGACCAAGGCTGTGTCTCATTGCTAGTTTTACTTGATCTTAGTGCTGCGTTCGAAACAAACACTACAAACATCAGCATTATAAAAAATATAACAAAAACTGCATAGCTTTTGCACAGTTCAAAGTTAACCAAGGCATTTATTTTTCCGTTCCAACATGTTCATAATCAGAATTTCTGCAAACAAATATTTGATCTACTCACTCTTGACAGTAACTCTGATGGTCCTCTGTAAGGTGTATGCGCTGTTGCTCATGTGTAGATGATAATCTCCAGAGTCGGTGGTTTTGGAGTCACTGATGGTGAGATCTCCTGTCTCACGATGAAGATGTAGTCTGCCACTGAATCTCAAATCATCTACGTCTCTAGGTCCAAAGAAGTTGATGCCTTTATTGATTTCAGCCACAAGATTGCCTTCAGTCTTCCACAGTATCAGATCATATCCCCGTATTTCAATAACACCAGTATGCAGATTGACAGGATCTCTCTCCATCACTGATACTGTCTTCACACCACCTGTCACAGAAACAAACACATATAACATATAATTAAAAACATGAATAGTTCTTTTTTAGAGAAAAGTAAAGAACAGATGGCTCTTTGGGAAAAAATAACCCTGACACTCTATTATCAGACTCTAAGAATTGATGTGTGGTAGAGGTGAAATGCACAAACAAAATGAGCATGTTTGTTTCGAGTGGTCACTGGCTACTGAATTTTGACCAAATGACATAAAAAAAAATTCATGTGACTATTTGATATGAACGCACTGGTTTAAATTTGATCATTGCCATTGGCTGTGATATAGTCTCAACCTCAGGCTGCACGTCCATGGATTAACCATCGGATGCACATTGCATTTTTGAAAGCACTTTCTTGATTGAGAAAGCTCTAATATGATTGGCTGGTTTTATTTGCCTGGAAACAAAGTTGTGTTTACAAGGCAACAAGTGCTGTTGAGAAGGAAATAGTCACAGGATTTGCAAGGTTAGTGTCATCACATCTTTTAAATATATTAAGAGTTTTGTTTGAGATGACTTTTCAATCAAATCCACTCATGTGTGGTCATACATCCCGAGGACTTTCTCTGGAAGTATGTTGCAAAATCAAACAGATCTACCCTGTTTAGACAGGTTCACAACACAAATGATCTCTGTCAAACCCAAAGTTTATGACAGCTCATAGCATAAGTTAGTATGGCAATGGACACCTGCATCATCTGCTATCTCTAAGACGTCAGACCTCATCCTGTCAAATGTTATATAGACGTTTTAAAAAATATCTTTAAGGTGTTTATGATTTCAAAATATGATAGAATTTATAGAATCTACTCACCACCAACAGCAATATAGAATTTTCTGTGCAAGACCATGCTGATGGTGTTGATCTCCACTTTATAAACTCCAGTCTGATCGCTTCGGATGTTGCTGATGACGAGGTCTCGGGTTTGATCGTTCAGATGAATGTTTCTCCATTTTGCATCATCAGGGCCGTTTAATCCGTTAACTTGCTCGAGACCATGGCTGGGTCCGATGTTTGTTAGTTTACTTTTACTACATGATTTTACCATCAAAATTGTAATTAATATTTACAAATAATACATCAAGTTAAAGTTTAAAGGCTTGAGCACCATTATTTCTGATTGTAATGTCGTAGAGGTGACATGATTTTCATTCATAGCAAGAGTTCTCAACAATACATGCAACATCGAAATGGGGAGTTCTGAACAATTTCTGTCCAGTAAAGATGACAGATAGTTTATATTATACAAACATCTGCACCGCTTTAACCGTAACAATGCAGAGAATAAAATAAATTGGGACTTTTTAGTCCAAAAATGCTAGATTAAGAGGAATATCAATAAATTCCGCTTCGTTTACGTAAAACAACATCTTGAGACATAATTATAATCCTCGTCAGTTTTCTAGTAAATGCTAGTAAACGTTAAAGTTGTGAAAGTAGTACAATGATATATTAGGCCTATGTTTTCTAGAGTCTTATGTGAAGAATAACCCCACCCCCCAGCGTTCTCGGCACAGTGCTGATTGGACAGTCATTCAGAACATTCTAACAGCACCACCGACTGTTGTGTCATCCAAACCTGCACAACCTAATCTTCACCATATAGCTGAGAGAGCTACACGTGGTAGTGTGCTGTACCAATACAGTGCTACATGTCTAATATGCCCATGTTGAATTCAGTTTTCTGCCGCAATCAAATGGTTACGCACATATAGAAGACCTACATCCTCTGTTCAACTATACCTTTTATAAACAGGCAAAGACTGGAGGGAAAAGTATATTGGTGGATGCACAATGCTGTATGAACAGTTGTAAATGTGTACCATCACTGTTTCTGTTAATAAATTGCTTCTTCAACATCTGTATTCAGTTGTAAATAGTGATGTATTGTGTTTTGTCCTCATATTTATGGTTTACTTTTATTAAGAAGGAATCTCATTTTTAGTGGTGCCCCTTCCAATTTCAATTATATCTTCTGCAGGTGTGTGGCTTTAATGTCACTGCTTTTGTAAATTACCCTGGCACAATTTGATATAGTTATTCCTAAATCTCTCTTATTCTAAATTAATTGAGCAATACTTTACAAAATAGTTAAGCTGCTCTTACCGTTTTTCTAATGTAAGGTATTTAAATTTGAACCTTGAACATGAAACTGAGGAAAAGCATCTTTCTAAAGAGTCCATAGTTCTGTTTGTAGTCCAGAGGGTTCATGAACTGTGACGGTTTTAGTTTGTGTAGGTCAGGTTTGTGTTTGAGCTCAACTAGTGGGGGCGACTGTTAACAGGTTAAGTGAGCGATAATGATGACTTGATCGCCAAACTCCCACAGTATCTGATCATCTCCCTGTACTTTAACACCAGTGTGTAGAGTGACAGAATCTCCCTCCATCACTGACAGTGACTCCACAACATCTGTCTCAACAACAAACACATGAGGAGAACAGATAGAAGTTTAAAATAAAGATTGAGTTTATAATCTGTAATTTTCACACAATCACACTTTGAATGAGGAGTCTAAATTCGGAGACTAAAAAGTTAGACTTTCCTCCCATGAAGTTATTTTTCTGTTTTAAGAATACATTGAGCATTCAAATGCATTTCAGATTTAGCTCTTCAGATACAGAGTCAATTTTCTAAACAATTGAAGTTGCTTTGGAACGATGTTGTGCAAAAAAGATGTAGAAATAAATTTAAAGGCCCCCTGTAGCGAATCCATGTGTTTTTGTTAGAAAAATATCCATATTTCAAACGTAATAAACACTTTTCTCTCATTTCCGCTGACTCATACACTGAAGCAGTTCCGGCGGATGACGCAGCAATGTATGCGCAGCGCGCGCGCGCCTCTGAGATATGCTAGTCTCGCGAGTTTGTTTACAGGAGCAAAGGAAGCAAAGTTTCCTTACTTTAGCAAAGGAAAACCAGTCTCTTCTTGGTTTATATCGAAATCCTCCGACATTTTTCTTTACAAATCCTCGGTGTGTACTTCTAATTCGTGATCGGCGTTTTGTTTTGTTCTCTCTCCGCATTCGTCACTAATCACGCAACGCCGCGCATCTTACGTCATCCGCCGGAACGGCTTCAGTGTATGACAGTCAGCGGAAGTGAGAGAAAAGTGTTTATTACGTTTGAAATATGGATATTTTTCTTTAAAAAACTCATGGATTCACTACAGGAGGCTTTTATTCATCCCCCAGAGCCGTCTGCGGCAGGTTTTATTATGAATGCGCGCTCTATATTTCACGACTTGTGGACTGTTCAACTGCAACACCCTCTGACTGCAATGATAGAGCTTAGAATAGCCAGGACAATTTTTAATATAACTCCGACTGGATTCGTCTGAAAGAAGAAAGTCATATACACCTAGGACGCTTCGAGGGTAAGTAAAACACAGTCTAATTTAATTTTTTTGGGTGAACTAACCCTTTAAATCCAACACACCTATCTACTTTTCAAATGGATTTCAATATAGCCTCACATATGATTGTTACTTTGCAAAAAATAAAAGGCTTTAGATTTTTTAGAGAATGAACAAATCTCTCTAAAAGTATAGCCTCATGTGGTTAAAGAAAAATATGAAACAAATACAATAAGAATTAAACAATTGAAAACATTTATTTTGAATCATTTTGAGACATCTGATTTGGTCATCAAGATCTTTGTTTTTTTCTTTTAAAGTTAATATAAAAATAACAAACCTAATAATAATAGCTTAACCCATAATGTTAAAACTTGTAATCATTCCACAGCATCTAAACTGTCCACAGGTGACTGACATGAGTTACTCACCATGGACAGTAACTTGGAATGTCTTCAATTTTGCATCTATGCCCTTGATGTCTACACTATAATGTCCAATGTGTTCAGTTCTGATGTTTGTGATGGTCAGAGATCCAGTCTGTCTGTCCAGCTTCAGTCTGTCTTTGAATATCACACCGGGACCATCATATGTAGAGGGATGTCCATCTGCTTCATTCATTCTAGCAATGATTTCATCACCAAACTTCCATATTATCTTACTATCTCTCGGTACGTCAGTAATATCAGTATGTAGAGTGATAGAATCTCCCACCATCACTGACACTGACACTTCATCTGCTTCAACACCAAACACACCTGCAGAACAAACAAAAACAGTTTTGTTAAATAACATTGTTGTAAACTTGTATAATACTGTAATATTTGTGCTGCAATTACAGCATATTAAGGAAAGCAATTTCTCAGGAAATATATTGTTTGTGTACAATTATATACCTGTTTTGGTACTGGGAAATTACAATATCATTATATTTGACAATATAGTTTCATGTGTTTGGGTAGTTCACTAAAGTAATATTTTTCATTCACACTGCCTGATGTACAGTACAGATGGGATATTATGAGCTCATTTAAAGTTAGTCCCTGAACTTACTTTATTCTCCTTGAATGCTACATGTTCTTGTGCAATGCTAAATTAAATTGTGTGTCATAGTTTACAAAAATTCTTTGCAAATACCTATTTGCCATAAAACCAGTCATTCTACTGAGCTCAATCTGAGTCTCTTAATACACCAACTTTTCGGCAGCAGTCTAGAATATTTACAAAATGCAGCAGCTTTGTAAGTATTTCAATTTTTCACAATGTTGGTAATGCAAGTAAACAGATGTTTTGCATTGTGTGTCTTGAAAATTAAGCCAAATGTGTCTTGTAATTTCTACAAAGCATGCAAATTATGTCTATTCTGATTCTTTGGATTTATGTTATTGGATGTTAAAGGGGTCATATGATGCTGCTAAAAAGAACATTATTTTGTGTATTTGGTGTAATGAAATGTGTTTATGCGGTTTAAAGAAAAAAAACACATTATTTTCCACATACTGTACATTATTGTTTCTCCTCTATGCCCCGCCTTCTTGAAACTCGTCGATTTTTACAAAGCTCATCGGTCTGAAAAAGCGAGGTGTGTTGTGATTGGCCAGCTATCCAGTGCGTTGTGATTGGCCGAATACCTCAAGCGTGAGACGGAAATGTTACGACCCTCACCATACTGTTGTATTCCCTCAGCGACCATCACGGATCAGCTCCAGGCATGACGAAGCGGATATCGTCCTCTTTTGGAAGACCAAACAAAGTAGTTTCGCTTTCACAACGAAGCACACAGCGTCTTCAGGATATGGCGGCGGCAACAATACTACAGCGAGAATAAAAGTTACGCCTTCTTTCTTTGCGTGAACATTTGGGCGGCGTTATGCAAATCTTCCCACATCGTGATGTAGATATGTGGAGGCGTGTTTGAACCAGCCGTTTTAGGTAGGTGTGGCTGACTCTTAACTTTTATAAAGAATATCTCTTTGGATTTGAGACTTTATTCTTTGCAACTTTACAGATCTTCTTTATGCACCAAGAGCTTGTAACACTCCAAAGAGAAAGGAAAAATTGAAATCGCATCATATGACCCCTTTAAATGGCTCGACACAACTCGGCACACAAGCATGGCACACAAAGACTGAACAAATGGTATAATGCATACATTTTATTTGCTGTTTTAATGTAAAATATTTCCTATTTATTAAACTTTTTTGAACAAATATTGGGGGTTTGGAGTAACATGCCTATTCTGAACAAGTAAAACTTGCAAAAACAAGTAAAAACCCACCCAAGATAGGCCTAATGTTAGAAGGACAGGCTGCAACAACAGCAGTCATCTAAATACGAGCTTGATGGTAGTTCATCATGGCAAATAGGCCTACTTTTTTAGACATATAGACCCTGAATGTGAGCAACAGTAACTCAACCGGACTACACTCTAAAAAATGCTGGGTTGTTTCAACCCAACTTTGGGTCAAATATGGACTAACCCAACCGTTGGGTTAAATTTTTACATTCAATTTTTAACCCAAAAGTTGGGTTAGTCCATATTTGACCCAAAGTTGGGTTGAAACAACCCAGCATTTTTTAGAGTGTAGAGTTCAATAGAGAAACTGACCGACTGATTGAGAGAGTGGCTTATTCCGTTTTTTCCCCCTGTTCTGTTTAAACAGTAGGACATGCGTTCGTGTTGCAGCCAGTTTTCATGTGAAATATTAACGCTCAGAATATTACATGCCGTCAACGCCCCACTACTAAACACACACACGTGCACAAACAACTAACCCTCAAAATCCCTTTACAATGTTGCTGTCGTCTATTATTATTCGCAGTGTGATTTATCATCATTTCTATTTATAGAAAAATTATTCATGTTTGTTTCAAAAAACTGTAGATATAAAAATAAGACGATCAGTCTGTTAAATTAGTAAAACTTTACTCACCGTTCACGAGTAATAAAACCTCCCCTGTTCTGTTTAAACAGTAGGACATGCGTTCGTGTTGCAGCCAGTTTTCATGTAAAATATTAACACTCAGAATATTACATGCCGTCAACGCCCCACTACTAAACACACACACGTGCACAAACAACTAACCCTCAAAATCCCTTTACAATGTTGCTGTCGTCTATTATTATTCGCAGTGTGATTTATCATCATTTCTATTTATAGAAAAATGATTCATGTTTGTTTAAAAAAACTGTAGATATAAAAATAAGACGATCAGTCTGTTAAATTAGTAAAACTTTACTCACCGTTCACGAGTAATAAAACCCCAAAAAGGAAAGTATTATTCCTCATACTGATGTCGCTTCTGACCGCGTCTAAACTACAACAGCATTGATTCAGGACACTGATGATAGACTCGTAGCAAACCTTCCAAGTCACGTGGTTTCTTGAGAACGCGGGTGTGTAAGACCTGCTATTTCGAAATGTTCCAAAGTCGACCTTGCCTAGAATGATCAAAATTCTGAAATGCTTGTTTATTCGAGGCTTGTCATATTCTGCATATTCTTAGTCAGTAAAATAAATGTTGAAAATGTTGTTGAAACTGAACTTTAAAAAAAGTGATTGTGAAAATGTGTGATTATTATGAATAATTATTATGGTAATCCATTTTATTATAATATAAAAATATATTATATATTTATACATTTTATAGCAATAAAAGCGTCACAATAATCCAGTGCAGACATTCAGCGTAATTCTAAAATTAATTAATTAATGAATAAATTATTAATAATAATAATGTGACCAAAATAAAAAGGTTTTAAAAACGTTGCTTTAAGTATTAAAAAAGTTAATATCACGCCTGATTTCTATGAAAACAAAACCCGACGAAACTGTAACTTTTGAGAGATATTTTATAGTTTTTTAAAAATAGTTTTCTGAATTCAAAACGAAAATAAATAAATAACCATAAAAAACACCGCGTGCCATCACATACAACCAAGAAAAACTCTTTGTCTGAGCTTTATTGTGTATGAAGGCCTTCTTACATGAATCTCATCCCCTCAAAACTTTACTTTGGAATAAAAAAAGTTAATTTAGTTTGCACTGACTGCTTTTGAGACTCCAGCAGCTCCTTCTCTGAGTCAAAGTGAAACCTGCTGTGGTCTGAGTTTAATTCACATCAGTTTAGTGACAGAATAACCCAAATGATTGAGATTTCTCTTGAGTGGACAAACGTCTCGCTCATGTTTAGGCTACTGTTGCATGTGTGCAGAAGATTCATAGGCCTAGATTATTTTCCATCAAGGCAGATTTCCACTCTACACACATATATACATTATAAAACAAAGCAGTGAATCCATAAACAGTCAGATTTGACAAAATGCATGCACTTAGCTATGTCCTTAATGATCTGTTTACTTCTAGCTGTGTGTCAGGGATCGCTGTAAAATCAATATATCATATATCATGATTTCTGTGGAAGCAAGCTATAAACACGGATTACTGTTTTATGGTGTTATAAAAGGCTAGATAAAGGGATATAAAGCCAGATACGAAACTGAGCTCTTGCTCTACTGACGCGTTCAGTTACACAATCACACGCAGTTTATTATTCGCAGTGTGATTTATCATCATTTCTATTTATAGAAAAATTATTCATGTTTGTTTCAAAAAACTGTAGATATAAAAATAAGACGATCAGTCTGTTAAATTAGTAAAACTTTACTCACCGTTCACGAGTAATAAAACCCCAAAAAGGAAAGTATTATTCCTCATACTGATGTCGCTTCTGACCGCGTCTAAACTACAACAGCATTGATTCAGGACACTTATGATAGACTCGTAGCAAACCTTCCAAGTCACGTGGTTTCTTGAGAACGCGGGTGTGTAAGACCTGCTATTTCGAAATGTTCCAAAGTCGACCTTGCCTATTGAGAACGCGGTTGTGTAAGTCCTGCTATTTCGAAATGTTCCAAAGTCGACCTTGCCTAGAATGATCAAAATTCTGAAATGCTTGTTTATTCGAGGCTTGTCATATTCTGCATATTCTTAGTCAGTAAAATAAATGTTGAAAATGTTGTTGAAACTGAACTTTAAAAAAAGTGATTGTGAAAATGTGTGATTATTATGAATAATTATTATGGTAATCCATTTTATTATAATATAAAAATATATTATATATTTATACATTTTATAGCAATAAAAGCGTCACAATAATCCAGTGCAGACATTCAGCGTAATTCTAAAATTAATTAATTAATGAATAAATTATTAATAATAATAATGTGACCAAAATAAAAAGGTTTTAAAAACGTTGCTTTAAGTATTAAAAAAGTTAATATCACGCCTGATTTCTATGAAAACAAAACCCGACGAAACTGTAACTTTTGAGAGATATTTTATAGTTTTTTAAAAATAGTTTTCTGAATTCAAAACGAAAATAAATAAATAACCATAAAAAACACCGCGTGCCATCACATACAACCAAGAAAAACTCTTTGTCTGAGCTTTATTGTGTATGAAGGCCTTCTTACATGAATCTCATCCCCTCAAAACTTTACTTTGGAATAAAAAAAGTTAATTTAGTTTGCACTGACTGCTTTTGAGACTCCAGCAGCTCAGTTTCTGAGTCAAAGTGAAACCTGCTGTGGTCTGAGTTTAATTCACATCAGTTTAGTGACAGAATAACCCAAATGATTGAGATTTCTCTTGAGTGGACAAACGTCTCGCTCATGTTTAGGCTACTGTTGCATGTGTGCAGGAGATTCATAGGCCTAGATTATTTTCCATCAAGACAGATTTCCACTCTACACACATATATACATTATAAAACAAAGCAGTGAATCCATAAACAGTCAGATTTGACAAAATGCATGCACTTAGCTATGTCCTTAATGATCTGTTTACTTCTAGCTGTGTGTCAGGGATCGCTGTAAAATCAATATATCATATATCATGATTTCTGTGGAAGCAAGCTATAAACACGGATTACTGTTTTATGGTGTTATAAAAGGCTAGATAAAGGGATATAAAGCCAGATGCGAAACTGAGCTCTTGCTCTACTGACGCGTTCAGTTACACAATCACACGCAGTCGCGCACTTCACGGAAGCTCGCGGACTGAAAGAGTTGTTTGTTTCTTCTTTCTCTGATTGGCTGAAGAGTTTTGATCTGCTTGACTCGGCGCAAGCTATCTACACATAGTGTGTATGACAATGAAACATTGTTAAACGCGATTCTGTCGTGTGTCTTGAAATCGACCTCATTTTTTTTCAGACATTAACGGATCAGCCACTGAACGGATCTCAAACGGTTGAGAGAGAATGATCCACGGGCTTGTTTTCTTCTGTTTATTTTTCCCCCCTCTGATTGGTGAGTAATAAATGTATTTATGGCCTTAGTGTTAGTAGCCTACAGATGAGCTAGGCTAATATTGTTTAAAACATTTAAGGATTAAGGGTTTCAATTATTTAAATATTTGATATAATTTGGATCTCTAGGCGCTGAGACAGATGAGGTCGTGTCAGCGATGGAGGGAGGTTCTTTCACTCTCCGCACTGGTTTTACTGAACGGCAGGGCGATCATGAGATCGAGTGGCGCTTTGGCTCGAGCAGAACTTTGTTCATCAGAATAAAGGCAGGAAACATGATTACATCCAAAGACACGAGTCACACGATATTCAGAGACAGACTGCAGCTCGAAAGACAGACTGGAGATCTCACCATCACAAACATCACTAATGAACACACTGGCGTTTATGAACTAAGTATCGATCTCGGACAGACAGAGTTGCAAAAAAAATTCATTGTCGCTGTTTATGGTGAGTAGCCTATTACAGATGCAAACAGTAGGCCTACTTAATTTTATATTTACGTAACGACCCTCTGTCAGTTGTAGGCTACTTATTCTTGGATTTATTTGTTTATTTACTCTCCAGCTCCTGTGCCTGTTCCTGTCATCAGCAGATACTCTCCTCAGTGTTCATCATCATCATCATCATCATCATCAGGGTTCAAAAGTGTGCTGCTGTGTTCAGTGGTGAATGTGAGTCATGCGACTCTCTCCTGGTACAAAGGAAACAGTTTATTGTCCAGCATCAGTGTGTCTGATCTCAGCATCAGTCTCTCTCTACCTCTGGAGGTGGAATATCAGGAGAAAAACACCTACAGCTGTGTAGTGAACAATCCTGTCAGCACCCAGACCACACATCTGAACATCAGCAAACTCTGTCACACATGTGCAGGTAGAAAAGTGGTGATATCAGCATTTCTTCACAGTACCATAATACCTTAAATACTAGTACCTGATACCTTAAAACAGTAAGAGTAGACATGTCAAAGTCTATTTGAAAGAGTTTGTTTAATGCCGTTTTTAAAGAAGTGCCTACTTCTTTCTACAGACTGTGACAATTGGAGTCAAAAGGAGCTGTGATCCGATGGGTTGCCTCTGCTGTGGTGGATGTGACACTTTATGATGCAGTGTTTCCTAACCTTTTTTCTGCCACGGCATAGAAGTAAAAAAAATCCCACAGCACAGCACACCACTAAGCACAAAAAAATAAAATAAATAACAATAAAAAAAAAGATAGAAAGGGGAAAGTTTTTTTTCTTCAGTAATTAAACAGTGCATCATCAGAGTTGGTATTTTGGCTTTATATAGGATCAGACACTTGCACCATGCTCAAATGGAGTTAACAAGGTTTTTGAAGAACGAATGACGAAGGTATTTAGCTTGTATGATCAAGAAAATTGGTAATAAAGTGTTTCATATGAAAGATGTGTTTTTGTAAATTGCATATTTGGTATATTTTGTGTTTGTTTTTCCATTACCTGGCAAATTGTGGATGTTTGGAGATCATAGTGCTCCCGTAGCTCTCATAAAGGCCAGTCAAAGCTCATTATTTAATGATGCTGATGGGAGATTCATAGGCATATTACAGCTGGATCAGACTCGTTCCCTTACCATCATAAACACCAGAACCACAGACTCAGAACTTTATAAACTAATCACAATTGTTGGGAATAAGAAGACACATGACATTCAATGTTAAGGTTTATGGTGTGTAACTACTCGCTGGTCATTAAACAGTCCGAAACAGCTTCCGAAATACTGGTGTCCATACACTTTATTTATTGATATAGAACACCGTGAAAACTAAACACAAACCAAAACAAAGAAAACAGTTTTACACACAACATTATAAATGACATTTAACACAAATAAAGGAATATACAAAACATTAACACTTTTACCGTTTTTGCCTGGTAACCAACAGTAGAATGGTCAGGAGCACTAACATGTGTATCTGAATTCACAGCTCGTCATTCAGTTTGCGCTAACACTTCCAGGTTAAGTTAATCAGGAAGGGTCATGTGACATTCAGTTTAGTCAAACTGGGAGTACAATGAAAATAAAATACAATACCAACACAATTCTGAGG